ACTTGACTAATTTAGCTCTTTCTATTTGTGACATTAAAAATGCATCCACATGCATCCTTATAGAGGATTCAGGAAATGTTATACAGCTTGCTGAAAGCTGCCCAGAACTGAGAGTGATGATGTCCCAAGTCCCAAGTTCAGTTTTGTTTCCTGCCAGAGATTTTTGTGTGTAATAGCACGCTTCTGGATCTGGTTTCTATGTAAAAAGTGGTGTTAAGAAGGTTTGACTGTGTCACAAGGATGCCATTAGAGTAAACAAGTTGAAAGACTTAAAACCTCCCAGAAATCAGAATAATGTAAACTTAATGCATAGAAAAGACAGAGATCCTGTCTGTCAGGACATAAATCTTCCTAATATGGGATCTCCATCGTCTTGCTGTGATAGGAAATGCCATTAGTTGTACTTTTTCGTGGAAAGCAGCAGAAGGATGTTTTTTCACAGGGAGACTTCAGGCAGTTGCAGGCTGCGGACTCAACTGTGCCTCCTGCATCTCTTCTGTGCATCCTGGCTGATGCTCCTCCTTCTTTACCTGTGTGGAATTGCAGCTGAAATGAAAACTGCCTGTGGCAACTTTCACACAACCTCAGTGTTCACTGAAAGTGTGAAAAAATAGAAAAATAGTGTTTTCCCACATGTTGCCCCTGAGTGAGTGAGTGAATGAGAGTCAGGAGGGCTGTTGAGATGCAGCCTCTGCCAGCAGCGATGCATGGAGGCAGTCAGGCCAGATCCTGTTGGAGAAGAGGGGTGAGCAGTTTGAGTAAGTTGCAGTCAATCTGTAGTGAGTTTTTCAAAGGGAGGTTGAGAAAAATGGGGGCAAGGCTGTGGCAATGTGACTGGTGTCAAGCCAGTTTATGCATAGGAGGAACCGGATTGTGGCACTCTGCCTGCACAGGAGTTTGGAGAAACATGACCAAGGAGGAAGATTTTGGCTACTGGAGGAGAGGTAAGCCAAGCTGTGGCAGGGGAGTGAAGCAGGGGTGCAGTCCTCAGCTTTGCTAGAGAATTTGAATTAAGGTACAAGGCTAATGTCCTGAATAAAAGAAACTAATAAAAGAGCAAAAGTCAAAGCTCGGCCCATCCTTGGCTGTCAGCATCATCAATAATTACTTTTCTAATTTGAATATAACTCTTCATGGCTGCCTGCCACCCTCAGCCCACTGTACCGTTCCTGCAGGAGTGCTGCTCCAGGATGCCACTCTGCTGCAACCTCCTCTTGGTTGTAACCCAGATTCATTCCTGGGTAGTTTATCTTAGTTTATCGTTACAGAAACAGCTCTTCTTGATGTTTACCCTAGTCCATTTTTAGAATGCAGTTGTGCAAAGAATAATTTGACAAGGAGACTGTGAGCTTATCAGAAAGTGTTACAGGAAAAAAAAATCAAAAGAAAAGGTAAAGATTCCATGTCCCTCAAAAGCAATAGTTACATTGTTTTGTTGATTAAATTGATAATTAAATAAACAAACTGTTGGTAATCTGTACAGGAGTGCAGGTAGTACTGGGTGCACGTGTTGTGCTGAGAACTTGAAAGGGGAAGATATGATACTTCACTGTCTGAAAACATCAGTTCACAAGTTGAAGGACCATCATTTCCAAATCTATTATGGACAAAAGGCTGTTGAAGAGGAAAATGGGACAGATCATTTTATCCGTTTCTTTGCTCAGGAGGAGCCCAGAAATAAGTAAAGCATGTGCCACAGAGGTTTTTGAGAGCTGAATGTTGAGGAGCAAGTATTTGGTGACACTGCCAGTAATAGGAAGGCAGGGCAGATTGAAGTTTTCTCAATGGACAGGTTGAAATCAACAGAGGAAAAATGACCGCTGGGTACGTATTTCTCATTCATACTGGGGCTTTGGGACATCATCGTAGTATTTTTACCTGATAGGAATATGAAAAGGAATGTGAGCAAGAGTGTCCAAGCAACATAACCTCAGTGTAGTTGAGCTGCTGTTGCATTCAGGAAACCAAGAACAAAATCACATCCAGTGGCACTACCTTTGCTTCCCTCTTGCCTACATCACCTTAGACTGCAGATCACCTGTGCTTTCAGTCCCAAACCTCCAAGGCAGTTTTCTTGCCATTTCTACTATCTAATTAAGCCAGTATGATACAGCAGTTCATTAACCTTGTATTGTTTCCCCAAATGGAAACAAAAAAAATAGTTGGCTTGCTGTTTTCTTTTTCCACCCCTATCTTTGTATCTATATTTAGGTTTCAGATTTAGAACTGAATTGTACCAATTCCTGGGGTGCTGATTCTGTTCTGGCAGAAGCTAAGGTACTTAACAGTGTCAGTGATTGATTTTGGGAGGCCAGCTGGACAACTTGGCTGACCGTGCTTGTGCAGAATCATCACATTTTAAATCATGAGAATCAACAGAATTACCTGACTTCAAAAATGCCTGGTGAAAGAAGACAAATCAGTTCTTTGAGGAGCTATTCAGACTACATTAAATTTTGCGCAGCTAGATTAGCTATCAGAAATAGGTACCCAGGCCCCCATTGAATTTTTGGAGAGCAGCAAGGCTCACTTTCTAGAGCCCACATCAAAAATACAGGGAAGCAATATTCTCACATTCAGGCAATTAAATTCAGTGCCAGAGATGGCACCACAAGAATGGTCCAGTTACGTTGAATCATCTTATATCACCTCACAAATACAGCATTATTACTATACACCTAAACTCTGTATTAAACCAAAGGCACTGTTCACTTAAACACATTTTGATCTGTTATGCCATAGGAAATCTGGAACAACTCTGTTTAAATCAGTGGAACAGCACTGAACAGATTTATAGCCTGGCAAAATTTACTCCTAAATCTATGTGGAACTAATCTATCCACATGGGAGTTGCTAGGAGTATGCCAGGCAGCTAAAATTTATAGAAATAAAGATGGGAAAATATTCAGTTAAATTCTGATGCAAAGAAACTTTAAAAATGGATGTATTGTTAAAGGAGGACTATTAATATGTTTTATACCTAAGTCTCTTTTATTTGAAAAATTTGGGTTTTTTTAAAGTCCACTAACCCATGTCTTCCTCAGGGTGTGAATTGTCTCTCAATGTGTACATACAGCCCCATGCAGACAGAGAGCCAAAGCATTAATTCAAACTTCTGACCATTATCATAATTCAGATAATAAATGGTTTGAAACAGAGTGTCACTTTTAAACTGCTTTAGTGCAGATGGTCTTTTTCTTAATTCCCAGCCCCACAGTTAGTGAGCTGAGCTTATTGAACTGCTTGCCAAATCTGTTAAGAGCAGATGGAGTGAACGGGATAAAGGCAATATTTCAGTGCAGCTCCCATGCATTGGCTCCCACCCCCAGATGCCATTATCGACATACATTTTACAACTCCACATCTCTCACCATCAGTGGTTAGAATTGTAAAGAGGTTGAGCATACTTGGCTTGAATGTCAATAATCAATAAGGATGCTCGTCTGGCTTAATAAGGATAAATTGTTGCCCTTGAAACAACATACCATTCCAGCAGTCAAAGTGAACTAAGATGAGTTGCTTGATATCTATACTAACTCTGGGTGTCTGTGTGCATGTGTGTGTGCTCACACACTTGTTATGCATTTCTCTGACCGTACCCTAGCACTATGGTTTCCTCTTGTGTGTCTTATAGTAATGTATTAAATTAATTCTTTTGAGTGCTCCCCTTTTAAAAGCTCATTTCTTCCACTTCAGGCTGACTTTTTTTTTCTAAAGACTTTCATTACAAACTCTGTCTTTCTAAAAGCTCCCAGCTTCCCCTTCTAAAGTCTGCTGACTTTAGGTGGTAGGTGGGATTTTCAGAAGCGCCCACTGTGAGTGGACCATTGCTGCCTCTAAAGCCTGTGACCAAATTCTGTCCAGCTTTAGCTGGGGCAAGTGGACCTCTGTGCAACAGACTTAAATTAATTCTGAGTGCTTAGGAAATACTGATCCTACTCCTATAGGAAGCAGTTATTTTTATAGAAACCATGAATGTTCTGATCACAAAAAAATAAGTAATACATAAGCACAGCTAACCTCAAGATGAATGGATTCCTGGAGACTTCATTTTTGATGTTTTAATAAATAAAACAGGACATTTAGTAAATAAAAGAGGCCAGAAGTCATCCTCTGGCCCTCAGACTAGCTGGCACGTGCAATCAGTGGCCAAGTGGCTAAACTCCTTCTGCCTAAATAGCAGTGGCTGCATGCAGCTTTCTTTGTGGGATTTGTCCCAGCTGTTTTCCGAGAGGCTGTTGTCACCAGGCCAGGCTATGGCAGGGACCATGCTAGCAATGTAACAGTATGGGTGATTGGCTGTGCTGCACCCATACCCTGACACTTTTTACTTCATTAGTACAAATATGTTGTATTTGTCCAGAATTTTTGCTGACCTCCCCAAAAGTTTTGTGACTTCAGATCAATTTCCATTGCAGGGATGTCCTTCATCTAAATTTCTTTTTAAAGTTGGCAGGAGCTCTGTAACCTATCAGGCAGACTCAGGTGAACATGTTTGAGAAGGTGTGAAGGCTGCAGGAAGCATCCAGTATTGCTGAAACTTCCTGGTAAAATGTTGGGATGGAAGTCTGCAGCATTACTTTCCACTTCCCCAGTTGTCTAGAAGCCTTCCATCCGTGACGCCTATACTGTCAGTAAATTTTAAATGCCAATAGCAGGACATGACAAATTCCATGCCAATCACAGTAAAATGAGAGCTTCTGTGATCCACAGTATTCATTAAAGCTCTCTTTGCCCCCTGTATCCTGGGAGTTAGTATAAGAAGGCCTAATATTTGTTGTGTCCTGCCACTGAGTGCGAGAATGACAGATCCTTTTCTGGCTGGGAACTGGGTCTGTGTCAGTTCATCTCAAGTGAGTAAGTGCAGCCTCAATGTGGAAGTGCAGTGTCCCAAAGACACACTGCTGTGTAGTAGTTTCTGTGGGCTGGAACCAGCCACCCATGTTTTAGTGTTTGCTCATGTCATTTTTAACCTTCCGTTTTTTTCCCTTTCCTGGCAGATTTTTATTGGTGAGATATCCATGTATTTCATAAAGTCAACCCGAGAAACCCTAATTATCCAAGAGAAAACTATTTTGACTGGAGAGTGCTGTTACCTGAACCCACTGCTTCGAAGAATAATACGTTTTATAGGTAAGCATCCTGAGCACTGCAAGCTTAGTCCCTGTTTGCACCAAAACAGAACGAAACATCCTAATAATCTACAGCCCAAAATTAATTAAGCTGTGAAATCTTTGCAGGCATCTTCCACCTTGGAGGGATAGTCCCCCTCGGGATTTGCACGGTAACGTTCAAGATGTGCCATATCATGCTGTCTGGAGCTGGTTTATATCCTATTCTGTTGAGCTTAATGCTTTTTCTGGACCCTTGAAGAAAGATTATGCCAATCAAATCCTTATATGAGTAATTCCATCATTGCTAGTCTGTGTAAGCTATCCATTTTACTTACAAATTGGTCCTTACCAACCCATCTCTTTGGCATTTTTCTTTTCAGCTCTGATTTTAACATCTATAGCTTTGTCACATGTTCAGCTGGGCACAGTGTAAAAAATTCCAGAGCCCACTTCAAAATAATGTTCCTATTTTTATTGTATTTTGGTTTTTGCTAGAGCTTTCATTGACTTAATCGCTGAGAAATGAATGAAGAAGTTCTGTCACTAAACCATTTCGAGGTTGCTTTATATGGTGCTTGCAAACCACTATGCCTTTTTCACACTGTTAATTAGTGTAAAAAAATGGCTACAAGACCTTACTGAGGGGACTGTCCCATGGTTCTTTTGGAGCAGGAAGAGGAACAGCATTGCAGCTTGCATTTCCGCTGTGGTACTGACTGAGAATTTGGTCGTCCCCTGAAGGCTTCTCAATTCACAGCCATTTAAGGCTACCCAAACGCGTCCCTTGGCATTTAGAGATAAGGAAGGCTGGTTGCTCACTTTTTACTACTTCCTTGTAGCAGCAGAGTAAGAAGAGGGCAGCTCTGAACTGCACGTGCAAGGGGCTCTAGCTTCTCTCCTTCCTTCTTCATGATAAGTCCCAAGTTTGTGCATGGGATGGGATGGCTTGTCTCACTGCTGGCGTGTGCCAGTGGTAACTATGGCTCAGCACTGACCAAGAGGGACTTTGCCCACAGAACATCACAGCACCTCCTTCCCTGTATAGTTTTAGAGGTAAAGCATCTTTACACGCTGCATCTTGCAGAGAGCTGGGTCTGAATTCAGAGTCTGAGTTAAAAGAAGCAATGGGGAAAAAAGCTGAAAATATCTGGATTGGTTCTTCCCTGTCACAGCTGAATTTTTGAGCTATATCTGGAAGAAAAATGTCTGCTGTGGCTGTGGCAAGGGTTGTATTGCTTCCATGGAGCACAGCCCTGGCTGCAGGCAGGGATACTGGCTCAGAGCATGGAGTTGAAAGTCTTACCCTGTGTTAAGATTTTCATCATCAGTAAATATATGCTGCAAAGGAGGAAAAGCCATGGTTTTCATTCTCCCTCTCCTCTCTCTGTGCCTTCTGCTTTATGCATGGAAGTTAGGAAGTGAAACTTTTTTTACTTTCTGCCACAGTGAGGGTGGAGACAAACCACCTGTGGTTCATTACTCAGGCCTGGTCTGTGTGCTGCTGCTGAAAACAAAAGATATGGGAATGCAGTTAATGTAAAATACCCTTGAACTTCACATAACCTCAAGGATATATTGATGGATAGTAAACTGCCATTAAGAGAGAAGCAGGGTACTACTGGGCCACTTAGGGCTGTTTGACTGTTCCAGCACACTTGGCATGTTGCAAAGTCCTAATCAAATACTCTTGCCTGCGGGGTCAGCACTAAAAGAGCTTAGACCATGGAGGCTAAGCACTTGCTCTATATGTTTTCTTAGAGTTGTCTTTATTCTTAAACATTCATGCTTTTTTTTCCTTTTCTGGTGGAAGAGAAGGGGGTAGTGATGAGACGATGGACTGTCAGAGAGTAGTAGGATATGAACCCTGCTAGAGAAATCAATCTTTGCTTTCCAGCTATATTTGTTTTCCTGAGAAAAATGAAGTTAAATGTTATTAGAAATTACTTAAATTGTTCATCTCATCTTAAACTACACTGATTGTTTGCTTGTTTTGTTCTGGAACATTCTCCCTGCCTCAGCAGTAAAATGAGAGAAGAGAATTTGTTGAAAAGTGGCTGAAATAATTTATGAAAGGAACTAAAAATAACTGCGCCTTTTTCATTGACATTCCACCTGCATTTTGAAAACATGACAGGGACTGAGCAGCTGTAACCTGTGCTGGATGATCAGGGAAGTTAGCTCCATACAGCTGCTTACTCCAAAAAGAGGCTACCTGGATGCTTGGCTCTGGAGAGACTAGCAGGTTGCTCATACATGGATTTCCTTGCCTGCGTCTTCTCTTGATAAACTTGAGGGCCATAAGTTACAGAGCTGATTTAAGCAGGTTGTCTTCTAAGATACTCTAGCAGTCTGCCTTGTTGCAAAGAAGTTTGCTGCCAATTTAGCCTTGGTACAAATTCACTGGAATATCCACATCTGATGATTTCTTCTGGCCTCGGTGTGTGAGCAAGAGTCTTAAGTGAGTGCCTGAAAAAAGTAGTAATTGAACTCCTTGTAAGTCATTACAGTTGGTATTACTCAGAAGGGTGAGAAAAATCCTTCAATGTGTTTGGGTGCTCATGTGTCAGGAAAAATGAAGACTCTTTCCTGACCCTGCAAGGCACATGATGGAGAGCTTTTGAGAGTTGCTGTTCCTAAATTTTAGAAAGGCAAAGAGGCTTTTTCTCCCTCCCTGACTCTGTAACTGGAGCTGCTAGGAAGAGATGGGTTTTAAGAGTAGTAGCCTATAGGTGCTTTCCACAAAACAGAATGTTATAGATACTTCACTGAACATTCACTTAGATTTTGTAAGGAAAGGGAAAGTCCAGACTGTCTTTTGGTGATGTGAAAGATAAACACCCTTGTCATACTATATCCGTGGGATCTTTTGGATCTGGTTGCTAGACTTGAGCCGTCTTCCCTCTTGCTTTTTCTTCATGTATACAGAATGAAGCACACTTTTGCACTTTGATAGTGGAGCAAAGAATTAAGCAAAACCAAAAACCTGCAGCTCTTCTGGGATGTTGGCAAAGCCCCATGTTTCTTTTCCTTGATTTTTCTTATTTTGCCTATTATGCTCTCTGTTTATTCTCTCCTTGTTTTCCTCCAGCCCTCAGCAGCTGCCTGTTTCTAAGATTCTCCTCTCAGGAGTTTGGCAGGGACCTTGAATGTTGAGCTTTGTCTTAAATCCCTCCCGGGTTCTTCATCCACAGGAAGCAGAACAAAAATTTCTTCTTGCTTCCTGGCCCTGGCATGAATTCTGCATGTTGGTAGACATTTGCTTTTGTGGCGAACGGCTGCCTCTCAACTTGCTTCAGTGTAGGTCAAGTCCTGTACTGCAGCCCAGATTGGTGAAACCCACTATGTTTCCTGCATTTAGAAAATCAATTCCTTTATCAGTGAAAAGCTGGCTTAGCTTCGAAACATCAGACTCTGATATATGTTGCAATTTCCTCCATCTTCCTCTTTATCTTTTATAGCTGCTTCCACAGACATTTATTTTGAAGATTTTCAGGTCAAGCAAGTGGTCTGCAATTGCTTTGGAGCAGTTTATTCTGCCTAAAATACTGGTGCTGTGTTGCTGTTCTTTAGTCACATCACCTCTCCTCCCTCCTGTCCCCACCCCTCCCAGCAGTTTTATTACAAATTTCTGCTGCCAAATTTTGCCATTTACGTGCTGGACCTTTGAGAAACCAGACGGTAAGAGTGGTTGTTTCTTCGGCTTCTGCCTCTTCTCCCTGTCTCTCAACTTGAGTATGCACAGCCTCTTGAGTTTTTATTCACCCTGTCTTGTGGTAATTCCTGTTCAGTGCTTTGTTAACATCTTGCCGTCTTGCATTTACTTCCATGTTCTACTTCATCATTTGTATTGCAAATAGAGGTTATAAATTATTTTAACATTATTTAGTAAATGGTTTCAGTCAAGGATTTAGTCTGTTTATATACAGCTGCTATCATACCACCAGGATCATGGATTCAGACCTCCCTGAGTCAGTTTGGCAGGGTGACTAGAGTGTGTATTGTGTTGCATTTCATTATATTAGGTTTCTAATCCGTGTGATTAAGTTGTATACCTGCAAAGCGCTGATAACATGCAAGTAGCCTCTCTCCAGTTCAGATATTTAGAAGTGCAACGTGCTTCATGAATTTGTTACCAGTGGCTTTTACTTTGGACCTGCATAATTTGCAGTTAACAAATGGCGCAGATCAGCTTCTGCTGACAGCTTAATTTAAAGCATGGTGACACCTCACAGTGGGCAGCTAAATAATGAAATTAGGGCTTTATTTCAGCAAATTAAGGCTTTAGTTCAGCAAATAAAGGTTTACAAGATTTATACACACATTGAGTTTGTTGCAATAGGATAGATATACCCCAGAGCTCTGGTGTCAATTCCCTGGGCAGCTGCAAGACGTAGTTTGCCTGACCTTATCCTTCTGTCTGCCTTGGATCTGAAGTTTACTGTGAAACAATGCATGTTCTGTTAATAACTAATAATAATAATAATCTGTTAAAGCCCTGCCTTTCAGCAGGGCTCAAGCTGTATTTGTGTGTGCTGCCTCTAACCTAAACTGCTGCAGCACCTTAAACTACTGTAGGTCTCCCTTCTTATCACTGAAGAACCTCCACAATAAGAAACAGGTCACTCTGTTGGGGACAAATCAAACCTTACTGTTCCTTTTTATGCTAGGTTCTGAGCTGGCTCTTGTCTAGATGAAAACTGATAGTTGTGAAGCAGTGAGGAAGAAAGAAATCCTGTGTGTCTGTGGGGAGGAGTCTTGAGGCTCCAGAGTACTTCTGCACTGGAAAATGAATTTCTTCTTGCATGCTCAGACCACATGTCTTCCTTCTTACGTCTTGAGGGCACAGTAACCAGGCAGGACGCTCACAGGTGAAGCAGGCACACACAAAAGGCAGTAGATGCCTGGAGCAGTGAGCTTTGTGGGGTCTTCACTGGGAGATCAAAGCCAATCCTGGAATCAGATTATGAGTGCTCAGAAGCTTGCTGTTGAGCCTGTTCCTGATGCCATGGCAACAGACAATAAATTTCCCTGCAACCCCCACCTCTCCAGTTGTAAAATGGATTAATGATAGAGATCTCCTTTAACAACACCCTTTAAGATATAATGATGAAGGGTGGTTCAGCAGAGTCTGAGTCACAGGACTATAAATATATGGCTTTATGGGATGCACAGGGCCATTAGAGCAAAGACTTCAGAGATGAGGTGAGGATCAACATTTCCATAGAGCCATGAGTCCTTCCAGGGACTCCCTCCATTGAAACTCTAATCTTCTTTAAAAAACATAGGGGTGGAAAAGGGGTTGGGGGAGTGTGAGTGTACATGTGTAATATGAACATTTTCTGAGCAAATTAGGTTGAGTGTGACAGATTCAGATAATTGCCTGGGCACTGGAAGAGAGAGGAGTGCCTAAATAAATGCACTTGATAGAAGACATGATGATATGTTACTGAAGAGCACAGCTTCTGATGTCTCATAAGCCCTGCAATGCATTGTTTCTTTCATCACTTTACTTAAGGGTTTCACAATTATTCTCTGATAAAGTCTTGTACCTCCTCATTCTCATTTCCACCCACTGGCTCCTCACTTCTCTTTTCACAATGTTTTTTCAGCTGCTCTTCTACAACTCCCAGGGGGGGTTTGTTGGTGGGTTTTTTTTCTGGGTGTTTTGTTGTTGTTGTTTCGTTTCAAATCAGTGGCATTTTAAATGTCTGAAATGGAGTTTCCATGGAGTCAATAACCAGCTGCAGTCACTGATGCTAGATGGATTTGGGGTGGAAGAAGAGAGAGCTTGAGCACGAGTTACAGGGAGAAGATAGGGTTGTACTAAGGTTACAGTGAGTGAGGAGAGCTGGATTCTTCTTCAGGGCAGATGTCTCTTAGCAAAAGCAATAGACAGAGCTGGAGGTGACAGGTGGCAACACTGATGAACAGCCACACAGGGAGCTCGGTGGGAGAAAGACCATTAGAGTAGCATGTGAGTGAAAGCCCAGAAATTATGGGTTCGTGCTTGGAGGACTTTTTGGCACCAATTTAGGGGGAGATGTAAGTGAAGAAATTAAACCTGAAGCATTCAAAATTGAAGCTGCTGAAGATTTAGGTTCTTCTGCCAAGGCAAGTGTTAGTTCAGGTGAGATGGAGCTGGAAAGATTTAAGGTTCATGTTGTCTGTCCTCAGCATTTTTGACCAGGACTTTCCTTGTTCTTTTTTTAATTTGCACATTTAGTTTGTCTAAGGTCTTTCTCACTGGAGGTAAAGATATGTGCAAATCTGATCCTCAGTTCCTTCTTTCTGGGACTCTGGGGCAGCTAAAGACAGTATCAGGGAGTACAGCCTACCCTCTATCTCTAGCCTAAATTAGTCTCTCTCCCAGTTACATTCTGCTTACTGGTTTGCCTTCTAGCCTCTTCTTTCTGGCTGCTCCTGACACACAGAAACACAGCTGAGAGCCAGGACAGTGACAGAAAGTCAGGAAGCCTTCCCAGAAATAGCTTCTGCTCCTTCTTTAAGGCTTCTTTGTGCAGCCAGACTATGTGACACGTGTGGATGAGGGGAAGGAGTGTCTTTATGTAAATGAAATTAACCTCTATCCATCCTTTCTGCTAGTAACCAACTGTAGAGGCTATAGGTCTTCTTCACATGTGGCTTGCACTGTTTAAATCTTTTCTCAGCATATGGTAAGTTCTGGACTAGAGTTCACTCCCACATCTTCTAGGCCAGAGTGAGCACAGTGAGATAAAGTGGTTGCTCCTTAGCAGGATGACATCACCTCCTGTTACACCTGAGCATCAAAGTCTGGAAGAGGTACACATTCTCCTATTCTCTCTCTGTGGCATTATATCACGGACTTCAGCTGTATGACCCTGAAGAGCTAGGGCTAGTTGCCCTTCCCATGAAGCCTTTCAGCAGTGATTTGTCTGCCTCTAAAAACCTGGCAATCATGTCACTGCATTCTCTTGCTCTGGTCTGTTAGCTTAGCTGCTGTAGGTCATTGAACAAATCCATTGAACAGATGGTTTCCTGAGGTACAAAAACCATCAGGGACTCTCCACCACTACCCAGGCTCACTGGTGTTGCAGTCTTTAAATCAATTACAGCCAACCCTATCTTAAAGTCTCCAGAGACTACATGATGTGTAATCAGTCTGCAAGGGTTAAATTCCTGCTAGCCAAATTCATTGCTGCACATAGCTATGATTTTCATAATCAGTTTCCAGCATAATCAGTTTGTCATAACTGCAAGAGGGGAATTACAGCAATCAATACACATCACAGTCAAAGCGTGATAAAGGTTTCAACCATGGCTTGTTCTGCTGTTCTGCAGAGTACTGCAGCCCTCAGCAGTTGAGTCTGGGCCAGCACTTTCAGCACTATCAAATATTAAGAAAATGCACGTGTTGAAACTTCTGGGTTTTTGGAGAAAAACACTGGACCACTTTTGTACCTGTGCACTGCCTAGAGATTGAGATAACTTTGTGAAGCCCATAAGCTTTTTCTGAAACACCTCGGTTCTCGGCTTGTACTTACTTATGCGATATAGACCATGGGCCAGACTGCCTGGCTCTTAGATTTCCTCTAAGTATTGTAAAGAGCTGGGTAATAATCCTCACTGCATTCCCTGTGATTTGCACAGCACATCAAAAAGATGCCATTTAAAGCAAGCTGTGCCAAAAAAATTTAAGGATTTGGCCAAAGAGCCATATATAAAACAAGATTCGTGGCCTAACTTGCTTGTGCACTGGCTAATGTAGATGAGGAGTTCCTGCCAGCTGTGGAAAACCATGGATTTAAAATATTAGCAGAGGGATAAAGGAAATAAAGGAGCAGTTTCAGTGCTCTCTCCATTTCCCTTTTAAACACAGACACTTAGAAGGATAAATGTGAGGAAGAGTGTCATGCCAATAAAAAGACAGGGGCCAGTCCTGCAGTCTAGAACCAGAGGAAGGCTGCTTCCTTCTTTGACCACCACTGGCTTTTTAAATCTGTGATTACACATCAGTTCATTAATAATGACTAATTATAAACTCATATAAAGAACAGTGATACTCAGTCCCCAAAATCGTCTTCACTGTGGTAACGCTCCTTCCTAGCCTTGGGGAAGTGTGGTGAGGACAAAACTCTCTGCATTCCTGCGGCCGCTCCAGGCTGCTACCCAAGGAGAGGGCTCTTCGCATCAGTACCCCGGTGAGGAGTACCCCAGTGGGGAATTTGTGTTACAGCACAGCTGTGTCAGTCACACCACACCACCTCTGTGAGCAAGTGGCACTGGCAAGCCCCTCTTGACACTCATACAATGAATCCATATTTAGTTATGGGTTTTATTTTATGTCTGTACAAGTGTCCTGTGTGTAGGTAGGCCCCGAATGTTTAGAAGGACCTAATTCTGCCAGCTGTAGCCCTTCTGCTTTCTGTTAGCTGCATGGTGAGTGACAATATCTGCAGAATGATCCTTGATTCTTGTATATTTGATGTAAAGCATTTTCTGCTGCATTATATTGCTGACTCCCTGATACTTTTTTTTTTCTCAGACTATAGCTGTCTTTTTTTCCTTTTCTTTTTTTTTTTTTAAAGTCAGTACAGATAAGCGGTGAAGTTTTTACAACCATAGTGGTGCCAGCTCTTATGATTTTATCACAGCTCTCCTAAGATGTTTTCCCCGGAGCTCCAGCTCTTGGTCATACTTAAATACATAGCAGTCTCAGCTAATTTATAATTTAAATGACTTTTGCTTACAGAGCTGCAGGAGGGAAAAAGCAAAAATATATGACCCTCAACATTTCCATACCAAAAGTAAATATTTATTTGTTCTAAATTTTTGTGACACTTTAATCTGCCTTAGTGATGTGAAGCAGGAAAGGGGAGCCAATTCAGTCTTTCGGAACATTCGGGTTTCGCATCTCTGCCAGCCTGCTGTTCTGTTCCTTTGATATGTAGGCAGTACATGCAAGTAAAAGGTCCTCATATATGTTCATAGCAGCTGAAGCAGGTATTACTAACACTCATAGGGAGTCAGTGGAGGATGTGACAACTGCAGTATTAAACAAGGGATGCTCCACAACCCTGGAAATGTTCCTGCATTCAAGTGAATGCTTCCTGCTATGCTATTTGCGGGTATATGCTCCCAGTGACGTGAGCTGAACAGCAACTGTGTGGAAATGTCTTCCAGAGCAAAGCATTAGGATGTTTCTCAAAGGACCTGCCAAATATTGCTAGATCAGGATCTTAATTTTTCAACATCAGGATGGTGAATAGTCAAAGTCCAAAAGACACTTGACACTAGATAGGATATTAAGATAAATGCAGTATTGTGTCTCAGCACTACACTGCTCTTTCAGGTTCAGAGCCATTTTATTACCATTTTCCGGCCCAGATGTGGTAAAAATACATAAACATTTTTAGCAACTTGTGCATGACACTTGACTGCAGGCTGTGAGCCTTTTTTGTAGTGGAAACTTTACAGGCATAGTATAGGTACAGCGTTTTCAGTGAAATCTAGAGCTCACAGTTCTGTTTAGAGCTTGAATCACAAAAGTATTTAGGCACTTGCTTATCGTTTTCAGCCTGTTTCTCAGTCCTTCTGGAGTTGCTGAGTTAAGCACCTGTCAGAGTTAAGCATGCAGTCTTCTGTGTCATGCCTTTGCTGCAGGACTCTGCTGGAGTCAGCAGGGGCTTTTGCTGGGTAATGACTGCAGGGTTTGGTCCCTTACCTCATCATTATGTCTCCTCCTTCAGGTACCAAGATGGTTTTTTTAAACCTGTTTGAATAATCATTATTTTTAACCTTTCCTCACAGGAGTGTTTGCATTTGGACTTTTTGCCACGGACATATTTGTAAACGCTGGCCAGGTTGTGACTGGGAACTTGGCTCCCTACTTCCTGACTGTATGTAAACCCAACTACACTGGAAACGACTGTCGGGCCCACCATGAGTTCATAAACAACGGCAACATCTGCACTGGGGATGTGGAGGTGATTGAAAAGGCAAGGAGATCCTTTCCATCCAAACATGCTGCTTTGAGCATCTACTCAGCTTTATATGCCACGGTGAGTGCCAGTGACGATTGCTAACTTGTATGAGAGGTTTCTGTCTGTGCATATAGAAGAGGCCATTTTTCTCACAATGGGTTTTTGAAGAAAAAGGGTTGCTTTGGGGAGGACTTTCTTGTTTATCTGCAGGAGAAAATCCCCTTCTTTCTCTGTTTTACCAATCCTAGTGTAAGCAAATCAAATGCTCATTGCTTTTGTGGCACTGTATGATGTGGAAGCATGAGGTCCTAATCTTGTCTTAGCTGCTGATTTTCTTAGAGGCCTTTGAGTATGCATTCAACCTCTTTTCTCTGCCCCTGTCTCATGAACATGAAAATGAAGTTGATGCTTAAACAGCTCCTGAATCACTACTATTTCTTTTGTTCACATGCCATGGGTTGTTGAACATTTAAAATGTAAATTGTGCCATTTCAATGGAGGGCTGAACTAGGCTGAATTTTGCTCCCCTTGTTCAGGACCTAAATTCCCCATGCAAAGAAGGTTGTAATGAAAGTCAGTGCCAGAATTTTGCTGTTATCACAGAGAAATGGACCCCAGTTGACATCTTGACAAGATGACGTGTTATACTGTCAGGAAGGAAATTGTCTGTCTTTAAAAGTCTAGTGAATCAGATTGGCTGCTCCTTTGTGTTCTCTGGCTAAAGTTTCTGTAATGTTTGAAAATTGATCCAAGAAGCTTACTCAATTGATCCAAGAAGCTTACTCACAAAGTGGAAAACCTTGGGGGTTTTGCCATTAAGATCCAAGGACTTAACCTGGTTCTGATCTCAAAATGGCTTAACTAGGCCTTCTTTCCTCCAATAGCTTGACTGAAATGAGTGGCAGAGTCTGTGTGCAGGTCATCAGGATTTGAGAAAATCCTTAAACTTGTTATGGTATTTACTGAATATTTTACCCTGATCTTGGTAGCAGATTAATAAAACACCACATTATTACTCTAAAATGAAGAGGCCACCCGCTGCTGTTTCAATATCCATCTGTTTGCACTGAATGTTGTGTGAATAATGACGGAGATATAAATTGGTATCTCCTTTGTTCAGTATTTGTTGGGAAGTGTTTGGAAAGCCCATAACTTTTCATGTGTATTACTTCTGAACAATAAGCAACCATATGTGAAATACAGTTCCCAATAAACTCAACATTGTTGTAGCAGCTGTTTTCATCATGATAAACTCTTAGGTGGAAGCTCCAAGATCAGGCTTAGTCCTGGCTCTGCCCTAAGCTAGGGGGCTAGCTACATCCTTTCATGGACTTTCCCTGCCCAACCTCCCTTGTTTCCTAGGAAGGCAAGTCTTCTACAAACGGGCTGATTTCTACAACTGAAGTGGAATAATGCTTTTCCTTCCTGACCTTAAGTCCCCAGTAGTCTAGTGTTTCTGAGCCCTAGCCTTTCAAGAGTACCTGCGATGGACCTGCACTTCTCCCCACACAGGAAGATACCAGGTGAAGGCAGGGCATGGAGTTATTTCTGAGCCTCAAGGTGACAAAAGCCTGCCCTTAAGGCATTTCAGCCTACAGTCCAGTTTTAGCCCATTTCTCTGCCTGAAGACACCCTCTAGCACTAAAGGTGTTGTCACTTGTCTTTTCTCTGCCTGTCAGCTGGGAATAACATGAGCATTACACAAGAAATGCAGTGTTCAGGTCTAGCTTTGCTTAATAATTGTGCTGTGCACAATTTTTTGAGAAGCGTCTTGCTGATTCTAATATGCATGATAATGTGGGCTGCTGAACATAAAACACAGGGCATTTGGTTAGTAATGACTGTATTTTGCATAAAGCTGAAGTTTTGAGCCATGGAGCAAGAAAAATAAAACAGGTTGAACATGAGGAGGCAGGAGAAGGAAATCAGCACAGACATTGTCTTTCATCGTATAAATGTCTGTTGAGATCTGGGAGTCTCCTCCCATCACTGAACCTCAAGTATCCTCTGCAGATGTTTCTGTACTGATTTGTTCATTAGTCTGCTAGTGACAGTACTACCACTATGATTGGTTTGGCCTTGTGTTTTGGTTTTTTTGTTTATAATCTGGGTTTTATACTTAATCAACTAGACTTTTTCTTTGTACCTGCCAAAGAAGCTGAGGAGAACCCAAAGCATCACATCTGTGATCTCTATGGGCAGAGTTGAATCTTGTGTGCCTAAAGTAAGGGAAAGAGAAAACAGCCGGCAGCCCTGGCTTCCATACTCACACAAAAATTAAAATGGCATCTATTGAAGTTTTATTAGTCTCCCAGAAGTATCGCAGGAAGAGATGGCAGTCACTGTACATAGTATATGCTGCCTTTCCCAAAGGAAAATGATAGGCTAGAAATACTCCTTAATTAATTAACATTTCTGGCAAAAACCAAAAAACAGATGATAAAATCATATGTTGCATATGGGTATCCTAGTTACATCATCTTTAAACAACTGTTATTTCATGCTTTTCTGAGAAAGGTCATGGAAGAGCCAATGGCATCTAACAGATGGTAGTGTTCAAACAGGACATGGAATATTAAAGTATTTCACCAGCACAACTGGAGGACCTCTTATTGTAGAGAGAAGACAGATATCCTTGCTGATCCTCCTGTTTGCCTCTCAAGTGAAAGCAAGAATTGTTTTACAGTCACAACAGGGTCTCTGTGGTTGAAAGATACAACTAGTCACTTACATTGACTGTTTAGTGGTGGTTTTGGGATTCTTCAGCCAAGTTCTTCCCTAGCAGCATCCATAAGTAACGCTTTCTGTTACCTCCATGTGGCTAGAAGACTCCACCTCATCATACTGGAGCACAACCTGGCATCTGTCGTTTACACCTGGGTGCGTTGCTTCTTGACTAGATTAGAGTGATACAATATACCTGGATGTGAAACTTTCAACATTTGGGAAATTCTGAATAGCAGACAACACTACAGCAAATCTCTTCTGCAACCCAAGTCACTGTGACCCCACCAACAATTTCTTCCCTTTCTGCATTAACACCTGCCAGACTAATCAATGAAATTCAAGGCCTTGGCACTTCAAGCAGCAGCACTGAGCATCCAGGAGACTGCAAGATGTACAAGACTTATCATTGTCAGAGGCTCTGCTTCTCTCTTACCATAGAAATCTCTATGGTAAAGGAAAAGATTGTCTCTAAAGCTTGTAGACACCGCGCTTTCCAGTATTGGTATGAAATTGTGAACTTTCCAAGGAAAATAAACTATGACGTATCTCCCCACTTTCTGCTGAAAGGACAAGACTTCTTCCACTCCACCTTTCTCATCATAGCTATACATTCTAAATATTCTAAATGCATATATTTGCATACATGTATGTCGTGGTTCAACTCCAGCTGACAACTAAGCACCACACAGCCACTCACACACTCCCCCCCAGTGGGATGAGGGAGAGAATTTGAAGAGTGAAAGTGAGAAAACTCGCGGGTTGAGATAAAGACAGTTCAATAGGTAAAGCAAAAGCCGCGCATGCAAGCAAAGCAAAACAAGGAATTCATTCACTGCTTCCCACGGCAGGCAGGTGTTCAGCCATCTCCAGGAAAGCCGGGCTCCTTCACATGTAATTGTTACTTGGGGAGACAAACACTGTGACTCTGAACATCCCCCTCCTTCCTCCTTTCCACCAGCTTTTATTGATGAGCATGACGTCCTATGGTCTGGAATATCCCTGTGGTCAGTTGGGGTCAGCTGTCCCAGCTGTGTCCCCTCCCAACTTCTTGTGTCCCCCCCAGCCTACTCGCTGGTGGGGTGAGAAGCAGAAAAGGCCAGGACTCTGTGTAAGCACTGCTCAGCACTCACTGAAACATCCCTGTGTTACCAGCAGTGTTTCCAGCACAAATCCAAAACATACCCCCATACCAGCTACTATGAAGAAAATTAACTCTATCCCAGCCAAAACCAGCACAATATATAAATATATATATGTGTATGTATGTATATTTTAAACTTGCAAACAAAAAAGCCTCCTAGACTGCCTATGCTTTTGTCTGTCTGAAAAAGATGGGAGAGGAATTACAGGTTGAATGCTACTATCACACATTGCACGTTGATAAATACACTGCTTGAGCGTACTGATAAGAGCACACAAAGAAGCTGAATAGATAATTTATACAGTTAAATCATATGTAGCTTATTTTTTAATATGATTTTCTATTTCCTTCACAACTTTTGATATTGACTTCCTTCCTCCCTGTCCCCCCCATCAAATAACTGGTTTTGACATTCAGAGTTTTGTAAACAAATTTACCCTATAAATAGGGTGGGATATTTTCAAAAACAACTGCTGTGTGTAGGAAATATCGAAGTGACTATCGCTGAGATTTTGGGCTCATACAGAAAGCTTTGAAAACATGCCCTAAGTGAAAGGGTAAACACATTGTGAGAATCTTAAAAAATATCTTGGCTTTAGAGACCAGGACAATAGAGATCAAATGGCAGTGATCAGGAAGTCTGACCAGAATGGAGAAGATCTCCCACTTGTTTCTGAGCTCAGTGTGTATTTATGGACGAACTGGAGCATACCTTCTAGGAAAACAGTTTGCCTTGTTTCAAACCCTCCTCATGAGGGTTTAATAGATTTCCCTTGGCAATCTGTTCACATGGTTAATTACCCTCATTGCTAAAAATGTTCTCTTTATTACAAGTTTACGTTTTCCTGTTGAGATGGATGAAACTTCAAATACATTATATACTTCCCATGTGTAATAAGGAGAACTCTCCCATGTGGGTATTCCAGAGATCCAGCTTCATCTCATACCTGTAAGAAAACAATCATGTGTGGGTTGTTCTCTGTAGTAGCATTTGCAGCTGTCGCAGCAGGACTGCATTCTTATTTTGAAGAGGTGATGCTTTTCCTTTGGATGCTGTAAACCGCAGTAGTGCGGGAGAGCAACCTGGCTCCCTATTGCTCGTTTGAATTGGCTTCTGCTAAAAGAAATGCATAAGGTGAAAGGGTGGATGGTAATTATTCAGAAAGTGGCAATGATATTTTTCTCCTATTGTTTCCAAAGAAGATCCTTAACGCGAGTTTTGGTGATAGTCAGGTGCAGCTCAACCTACCAGCAGAGACTGGGGCAAGATTGCCGCCTAGTGCTCAGTTACTCGCTGTCATTTCAGGGCATATGCTGCAGTCAGGTATTAGGTTTGAAAAACAAAGCAAGCAGGAACCTCTCGAGTAGCTTAGTCCCATAGTGCTACTATACACCACAATGTTCCAGTTCATAAACTGAATTTACCTTTAAATGATGTGCTCAGCAGCACACTTAAGGACAGAAGACTTGCCTTCCCTGGGCAGAGATCTAGCAAATTTAGCTGTTACAAGTCTAGTACTGCAGTATCTTGGCACATGAAAGTACAGTTTTGCCTAAGTCTGGAGGCAGGCAGATGTGCCTTCCCCTTGTTGGTTTCTCTCGCCTGTCCCTTCCCCTTCCAAGAGGTGGTTGCTGCATCCCTTCCCTTCTTCTGGAGTTACATATTGTAATGGCTTTAGGGCTAACATTTTTAACACCAGCCAGTGAGGGGAAGCCAGCTGTCAGGACATTTGACGGCCCAGTCAGGGAGAAGGGAAAAGAAAAACGGACAGGGAGAAAGTTAGAGTAAAAAATAGGCACAGTACAGCAGAAAAAAGGAATATATGAAAGGCAATGAAGACAGTGACCTTGAGAGTGGATATAATTTGTTTCTTGATCCCAAAACTATGTGCCAGACCATAGTGACCTCTCTATACCTGGCTCATGAAGAAGGGGACAGGCATTGAAATACAGTAAAATAATTGCCCATGGCTGCCAAATAGGTCATCGAGTGCGAAGCAAGCTGTGCTGGTAGTTGCAATTGGAAGCACCAAGCCAAGCCTCTGCAGACTTCCTTCAGCACAGACACAGGAAAATCCCAAGGCAGCTTCACCCCAGCCAAGCCATTGTAGTCTTGGCCAGAGACTGGTGGTGTGAGCCAGCACGGTGTCCTTAGCTGCTGCAGCAGCAACAATGGAGAACAGCTCTTGGGTCTCCACCGTCCTGCAGAGTCCCACCCTGATTTCAGTGCTGCCCATGCAAAGCGCTCAGCAGTGCCCTTCCCCAGAAGTGAAGTCATAATAGAGAAAGCTGAGGTTTGTGACCTGCAGAGAGCACCATCACAGATCCCAGTTGTGGTGGTATTGCAGATGTGATTAAGCAATAAGGATGTCCTATAGAGTATTTTGTCTATGTCATGGTTTAACACCAGCCAGCAATTAGGCACCACACAGTCACTCGCTCACTCATTCCTCCCCACCCCCAGTGGGATGGGGAAGAGAATGAAAAAAAAAAAAAAAAGTAAAATTCATGGGTTGAGATAAGAACAGTTTAATAACTAAAGTAAAATAAAATATAATAACAACAATAATAATAAAATATAATAGTAATGAAAAGGAATATAATAAAATATTTAAAAAAAACAAAAACAAAACACAAACAGGAAAAGACAAATGATGTACAGTGCAATTGCCCAGCACCTGCGGACCAATGCCCAAGCAGCAATCTGTGCCTTCCAGCCAACTCCCCCAGTTTATATACTGAGCATGACACTCTATGGTATGGAATATCCCTTTGGCTAGTTTGGGTCAGCTGTCTCGGGTATGCTTCCTCCCAGCTTCTTGTGCACCTGCATGCTGGCAGAGCATGGGAAACTGAAAAATCCTTAACTTACAGTAAGCACTACTTAGCAACAACTAAAACATCAGTGGGTTATCAACATTATTCTCACACTAAATCCAAAATACTGTACCAGCTACTAAGAAGAAAATTAACTCTATCCCAGCTGAAACCAGGACAGTCTAGAAGACTAACAGAACCATAATTCCATGGTTCAAGAAAAGGTCAAGGGTCAAGAATGGAAATATTTTCAGCTTTGATGATTTTACTGTTTTTACAACAGGAGAATGTATTTTTTCTTTACAAATAAAATGGCATCTTTTGATATTAAGCACTGGAAGAGACACTTCCATGGTTTGTAATCTTTCCATTCCCCAGCAGAACAGGTGTTTGTACTTTCATTGGATCAGATCAACACTATATGAATCAGGTTCGTTTACCCTGTGATTGGTAATAAGAATCAAATGAATTTTTCAAATGTATCTTCCTGATTCTGTTTCATGTATGGGAGGCAATGTGTTATCTGGAGACATTTCTGACAAATGTGTTTGATGTATTTGCTTTGCTTATCAAAGCTTCGGAAATCATGCACGCATCCATACTTCCTTGCTGAAAAGGATTTTATTGAATTGTTTTGCCATCAGACTTGGTTTGCTTGATCTTTGTAATTTTGTGGCTCTGGAATTAATGACTGGCTGCTAATTCCAACCCACATGGTTTTACTCTCTGTGTCAAAATGCATTTAAAATAAAATACAAACTGCCACAAACATGTGGGGTTCAGTAAAAAACACTCAGAGCACAGTGAAACTTCATGGTCTGGAATTACATTTTCAGAATCAACTTTGGTTTCAAAGAAATCTCTCTTACATTCTGTGTTTCATTTCATCTTGCAGAGAAAATGTCTGGAATGGTTTCCCTTAACGTTCTCTGTTTCTTAAATTTAAGAGCACTTAGGAAACCAGAGCAGCTAGTTCATATGGGTGCTAGGCACTCCATCATGTGCACATTGTAGTTTCTGCAGGAGTATAAACATAAATCCTTGACTCCCTTTGCAAACATTTAGTCATGTACATTCAGAGTGCATGTTTGGTAGCATATGAGCAAGTATGTGCACAAGTTAGGAAGTCAGTAAAACTGAGCCTGTACATACCAGCTCAGAAAAAGTCCAGTATGTAAATGCAGTTCATGCACTATTTGACATCCTGAAACATAATTTAACAATGTATTGTTCTCTTAAAAGTGTTCTCTGACTTACCTTAAACCTCTTCCTCTACTTCCCAATGCTTTTTTAAATGAAACATGGGTTTTGTCACATCCTTGCTGATTCAGGATTTGTCTGGGTGGAAAAAGATGCATTTCTGGCAGAGCCCTTTTTCATTTTTGGCTTACCCTTTGTTTCAGATGTACATCACAAGCACAATTAAAACGAAGAGTAGCAGGCTAGCCAAACCTGTGCTGTGTCTGGGTACCCTGTGTGCTGCGTTCCTCACTGGGCTAAATCGAGTTTCTGAGTATCGAAACCACTGTTCAGATGTGATCGCAGGCTTCATCTTGGGGAGTGCTGTAGCTCTGTTTCTGGTAAGCCCATCAGTCTTTCTGCATTCCTTTTAAAAATACCTCAGTTTAAAAAAAAAATAAAATTACTATTCTCTTGTGGCCTATTGCAGCTGATTAATCCAGTTGCGAAGACCTAATTCTAGCCCCATCTAATTAAAGGTATCAGAGAAAATCCCAATATAAAATCAGGTCGATACTAATTAGTAAGGCTAATATGATGACATTTTGTGCATTGTATATATTTCAAGGTTATTTTAATTACTGTACATGTTCTTACTTGACCTGCCCTGGAAAACTCTTGAAAGATGGTGTAGATTTCAACTAATGTCAAAAGCAGGGCATGCCTGAGACTTCTTCTCTCACACCTCTGTGTTGCAAAACCTCACTGTCTGCCTGGTATCTGGCAAAAATGTAGGATACAGTGTTACCTGGGGCTCTAAGCAGTGGCCCTGGTTCTCCATTTCGTTTCAGACCATAAAAGAAGTGCAATAGAAAGGAAAGGCAGCACAAACTCCCCGGGAGACAAAACTGCCTCCATTTGCAGCATTTGGAGTTGAGCTGGAATTGTTTACCATCTCATAGGATAAACAAATCTATCAAAATGTATCAAAGGCCTTCCCACAGAATCTAGGAACAGCATCTCTCTGGTCTTTGAATGTTACTTGCTCACCTGTAGGCTGTGTGGTTCAAGTGTTTTGTTTGGTGAGGGAACTCTTGCTGAGGATTTACCCACACAGCAAGCAGTCAAGGTGATTGTCACTGTTACCAAGAAATGTGCCTGGTTCCATTTAATCAAAAGATGCTTCAAAACTATCCACTGCATAGTAACAGACACTTTATCCCTGTAATCAGGAGATATTAGGTTTCAAAGATTCCTTAAATCTAGATTGTCCTGTCACTGGTCTTTTTTTCTATTCTGTACTTAAAAAAAAGCCAACCAACCTTCACCTATCATTTATTTCTGTGTTCCCTTTAAATAAAAAGATGTCTGCAACCTCTAACCTGAATGTCCTTGGCTTTAGTGTAAGTAATTTGTTTGATTCCCACTGGGAAAGGCAGTTTAAATTTAGCCCATGCAATACAAGAGGCAGTCACCACATATATCTGGTCAGGACAATCTCTGTGCTCCCAGTACCTGTTTCTAGCAGTGACAGCCAGCTCCCAGCCACAGCCACATTTTGGACCTGCAGACCTTCTGCCACCCTGCAAGTGTCACAAGCCCAATTGCAGAGTGGTGGAAGGGGTCTCCCGGAACTTGGAGGAAAGGGGTGCTGTGAGATTCTGCTGCTGGCACAAGACTCACCCAGGCTGCAGCCTGCTCTTTGCTCAGATATAAAGAGCAGTGAAGAGGAAGAGCCAGCAAGGAGCTGGCTGCAGAAATCACTCTGACAGCAGATGTGTCAGCTCCTGTATGTCTTTTTTTCCACTGTGTCCCCAAGCCCCAAAGTGCCATGTGTGTTTGCTCTTATTGCATCACCATGTGGGTGCAGTAAGTCTGGTCATGCACAGGGGAAGGGTGTGTGGAACAAACCCCACAGCAGTTGTGCTGGAAGTATGCAGGAATGGTGCTAAATGAGCTTGATGTCATCCAGATGTGAGGTAGATTCAGCCATCCAGTGAGCTGTTTTCACTTTGGAAATGACAGGCAGAGTCTGAAGGGAGTATTTGGCCAATAAAATGCATCATCAGGGTAGTCCAGGGTTCTATGATGATAAAGCAGACATGGAAGTCTCTGCTGTATAAAACGTAAAAAGGCTGAGATATGGTTCATCACCTCACATTACAGACCAGATGAATCCATTTACTAAGGTAGTCCACCACGTGCAACTTTGTCAGTAAACACGCTGTAGCCCAAGGCTGAGATAGATGATGCCTTCAACCAATACCCAGGTTAAGTTCTTTGCAAAAACTGGCAGTTGTGAGACCCCTGATGGTAATTCCTTTGAGTTTTCCCTATGGACAGAACATGCTGGCTGACCTCACTTTTTTTTTTTTTTTTTTTTCCCTGAATTACACAGGGGATATGTGTTGTCCATAACTTTAAAGGCACTCATGGAGCTCCTTCTAAACCGAAGCCTGAAGACCCGCGAGGAGTGCCGCTAATGGCTTTTCCAAGAGTGGAAAGTCCTCTGGAGACATTGAGTGCACAGGTACGGTAAATCCTCTCACCCAGACCATCACCAAGCACGTCTTCTGTTATGGCAGAGTAAAAAGTAGCTGTATACATAACTATACAGGGAGATGTTTTATTCCTGACGTTAAGCCCATTAACAGAATGAATTTGCATCAGGGGAGAGTTTGTTTTAAGGCATTTATCCCTTAAACTAGCAAATACTGTAGATCCTCTGTCCCTGTGCATGTCCAAAGCTAAAGCAGTAAGGTTTCACGTGCCTCTGCATATTGTTTGTGATAACAAACTTTTGCTTAGAAGAATAGAAAACTGAGAGAAAAGTAAAGATAATTCTGCCTAATTACACTTTGGAATGCTTTTGGGATGTCTCAAGGATTTACTCTAACATTCGTAATCCTGAGAATAAACTATGATGTCCAGAAAAATATTATAGAGATTAGTTTTTTATCCTTATTACTGTTCAGTATCTTCTATAAAAAGAAGAAATCATGTACTGTTTTTTAACTCCAAGTCATCATCATTAATAGCATTCTTTCAAGTTTCAAAAAAAACAGGCTAGCAGGAGTGTCATTATTGATGGTGTTTCTCTTCTTGAACTACTAAATTCAAATGGCTTGTGTTGGTGTAACTGAATCATAACCAGTCCTTTCAAAACAGACAAGCAAATGCCACCTGCCAAGAATTTCTGGGAACAAAGAGGAACTGCAGTTTATCAGTTATCTGAAATGCCCTAGTGTAATTAATTTGTTCTTTAAATTGTTCTTCCTTTATTAGATGGCCTGTCATTCCTGTGTACATGGTGTGTGGCAAGATCAATAGTGACTTTTGTTAAACCTTTTGACAAATAAACTGAAAATAGGAATTAAAAAAATGGAAGAGACACTGTTTCTAGCTCCTGGACATACTTTGCTTAATTGAAAAGTCAATTTTGATTAGGCAAAGATTTGCTGGAAGGCCTTCAACTAAATCTGCAGAACTGTGTGCATTAACTGTTCTCTTCGTGGATTTGCAGTCCAGAAACTAAGTGCTACTTACATATCCACACTGTATCATGTATGACAAAAGGGTTGAACAGGTGAAACTATTCACAGACTGTGAGAAAAAATTTGCCTAGTCAGCTATTTGTATCTTTTGGACCGTGAAGTGTAAGTAGGGACTAAGCCTTAACTGTTGATGTCCACTGTAATCAAAAAGATAATTTTCTCTGATTCAGGGTATCACTCTCTAAATGACCATACATCTACCATGCAGGAGTAGATTGGGAAAAACATGATCCCACTCTGAAGCTATTATAAACAAATCCTTGGGAGTGCCTGCTCATTAGTGTTTCTTCATATAGAAGGTGCATCATCCTTTGTGCAGATTTCTGCATCTATTCCCACTCTTGTTTTGCTTGCAGCCACATCGATGCAGCATGACACAAGGACGACTCAGTGCTGCCACTGAAGTCCTGGACATTGGCTTCCAAGAAGGTTAAATCAACACTATTGTCCCCTAAAGAGGACTTCCGTGTTGCTATATATCAGTGGCTGCATGTGTTTTGGCATAACGACCCCACCTCTGTATGGTTTTAAGCTCTATGTGTTCCCTAGTAGCAAACTGCGTAGGATCTACATGCACACATCACATGAAGCCAAACCATGGTCTTTTAAGCTCTTCACGACTGAGGACAGACCTACTGTATTAGTAATGTGACTGTATGAAGTGCTTGAGCCTGTACTGACATGTGCCTCTGGACAGGATCCAGACCAGTTTGAAAGTCTTTATTGAAAAAGTCGCACCTTGTTTTTCAAGCTTGTTAGTGAGCGTTCATAGCCCAGAAGCAGGGCTTTGAGTTTCCCACCACCAGCTCAGGATAGACAGTAGTCATGTTTGCAGTGATCTCTTCATTTTAAGGCCCTACACTAGCTGGGCAACAAATTTTATTAGTGGACATTTTTCTCATTCATTCTGCACATTAGGTATGTAAATGCCAAATTGTATATAAATGTTCATGTGTTTGCCTTTTCCTCTTTGCAGAATCACTCTGCCTCTATGACTGAAGTAACCTGAGATGGAAGATTGGCAACCGAAGCTATTTTTTATTACCCTCCAGTACAATACTCCAAGACACACAGTTACTAAATGTCTAACTGTGATGACCAGTATTATGTTATGTCTAGTTAGAGGCTAATGTTTTGTACTTTTTTTGTATGAGGAAGTGATGTAGCTTGCCCTGATTTTTTGTCAGCTTTAATATTATTATGCCAGAATTTAAAAGCAAAACAGAAAAAGAACAAAAAAACCCTTTTCTTGTTTAAAGTGTGCACTGAGGAACTACATCTATGGAATTGTTGATGTTGTTATGTGATATTTGTACACAATTTTTTTTTTTATTTTTGAATTTATATATCTTGGGGGGAAAAAAAAAAAAATCACTTTTTCTTACCATAAGAAGTGCTTCTACCAGTGGGTCAGATTCTGATCTGAGTAAGCTCAGCACAGATCTGAAGTAATTGCATATATTTAAATCAGATTAAAATACTGGTGATCAGGAATCTAACCTGAATGATACTATCAACAAGTAATAAACATCCCTTCTTGATTCAGTGAGCTACTTAAGCATTCCTTAGCATTATGGACTTCAGTTAGCCATCCATTTCCAGACTACTTGGCAGACTTGAAGTATGTCCTTAAGCATCTTACTGAATCAAAGCCTGACTGTTCTGGTGTGGGTGATTGTGCTAGTTATTGAAGAATAACTAAAACAACATACTCAGTCTGCAATATATACAGACTGGACATGAAAATTTATAGTAGTAGCTGATAGCATGTGAGCTGACTATATCATCTCCCTAGATCTCCATTCCTCCCCAAGGCCCAGCTAAAGCTCCCAGTGAAACCTGGCTTCAGGAATTGACTATGGGGATATACAGCCACCACTGTGGAGCTGAGGCTGTGCTTTAAGTGTTTCATAACTTCATCATAGATTTGTGGGGTAACTAGTAACACTGGTGCAAAGGAAAAGTGACACCACTTCCTCAGTGGAGTGGCATTACTTGGCGTTCAGTTTGGCGTAACCAGGAAGCCAATTTTGCCCCGACAGTGTACTTTTCACTGAGGGGCTTTGGCAAGTCAAAAAGACTAAAGAAACTGACACAGTTTGTAGTAGCAGTCTGCATTTTTGTAAATTCTGCCATACAGAATTTATATCAAAACTGCTATTTTACAATTTAACAACTTTGTTTAAGGATTAAAAAGACAATTAAGTGTGGGTGGGGGGTGGGGGAAGAACGAAAAAGACCCCATTTACAATGGCTAGAACTGGGGCAAAGGCTTCATTACATGACTTTTCACTGTTTCTAGGATTTTCCTGCATCTCATTCTTCTAGCATGGTGATAACTGCTGTGTGTCTCCTTTAAAGAATGGAGCCTCTGTCTGTACTTTTACTGGAATGTTTACCTCACATTTCCATGTTGGTTCTTCTTGGCTTTTTTTGTATATTTTTTCCAAAACAGATGCAAAAAAAATTATCAAAAAACCAAAACATGTAGCCTGGTGTCTGTCATTTGCCTGTGACACAAAAACAATTTGGGATGTCCGTTTGTGTCTGGTCTTGCAGTGTGTTTCTTCCAAGTTGGTATTTTCTTCTGGCTTTACTGATGTCTGCTTCAGCCTTAGGAGTGTAAGGGTCAGACCTGGGCCATGCAGGTTGTCTGTGACCATGAGGAACCATTGATAGTGTTCTGGGTCCCTCACTACAACTTTGATCCAAATTCCACATGGAAAATTTCTGCTTCATAAATTTGGCTGCGGAACCAGTCCTTGTTCTGCCGTGTTAGGAGAATAATGACATTTTAGGAAAGCTTTATCAGCAATGAATACTCCAATACACCCAGTCAGCAGCACGTTAGTCCACTCATACTGCAACGGGTTAGCAGGGGGTTGAATTCTAAAATAAAAACTTTATATTCTGAAGCCTAGTTTTTGCAGGTGTGGTCCCTGGGGTTTTGTTCCTCCCAAGTGTGCTGTTACCACAGCATGAATCTTGCATTCTTGGTCAATAGCTTCCACAGAATTGGTAGTGATGTTGTCCCCCTCTGCTTATCCTCTAGTATGATGATGTGGGCAGTCTTTCTGAAGGTGGAAGATGTGGATTTGAGTTTCCTTCCCATCCTCCAGCTTGAAGAAGGATTTGAATCTGTTTTCCACTTCCTGAACAACTGCTTTATCCTTCCAGTTATAGTGCAGCATGATGAGAGACACCCCTCTCCACTTCGAAATAAGCAAGTAAGCCCTGCTCTCTTCTTTGACATGGTACCTAAGGATGCCTGCACCTGGGAGAGGTGAGGTCTGCAGGTACGTGCAGATCCACAGGGGTGTGCATGCTTGTTTGCAAGTGCCCAAGTTCTAGATGACTGGTTAGATGAAGCTAGACCGATCACACATGTTCATTGCATTTCCTGTTGGCTAGCTCTATGTGTTTGTTACCATTTTAGATTTATAGTACCCTCAGCCTTTTCCAGTTGACAGATAACCCCTTGTACAGGAAGTCTAAACCTAACAGTGTATTTGCTTTTCCCAGGTGCCTTTCCCTTCAGGAGCAACGTGTGTCCACCTCCTGGAATCTCTGACCCAGTGAAAAATCAGTCTTTAGGTAGCCTTTGGTTAATTTTTTTTTCTCTAGTTCCTGTTCTGAGGCACATCATTCCCTATGTGCTGTGTACAGTAAGCTTAGGCAGCTAACAGTGGCTTCTGTAGTCTTGTGTTATGACTAACTGCGTAAAATAAACAGGTTGCAGTTGGATCATCTCTTAAGATGGATGTATGGCCATTAGGCTGTGCAGTTTCATGCACTTCAGGAATGAACCTGGCCTATGTAATGTTACTGGCAGCAGTGTCCCACCCCCCTGCTTGGGCGGTTACCCAGCTGGATGGTTGTGGCCTTCCTCTGCCCTCCCAGGCTAGCTCCCGTCTGACAGAAAAGTGGGTACCCCTGCAGACCTGGTGTTCTTGCTCCTCCTGGTGTGCAGATTGTGCCGCTCAGCTGCGCGAAGGCTCTGGAATGTGACTCTAGGCATCAGGAAAACCACCTGCCCCTGTCTTAATCGAGTACCTGTACGGAGGGAAAAACTGGCACATCTCATTGAAACCGGAGGTCAGCATTAGAAATAAAATGTTCATCCTTCCCCAAACGTGAATGGACACTTTGCCGATGCCCCCACAGGCTGGCAGACAGTGGTGTAGGACAGCCTCCCTCAGCTGGCTGTACACATGGAGGAGTCTCTTCGTAGTGCACCGCAGCTTTCTCTAGTTCACGGACACACTAATCCACCCAGTCTGGCATCCAGTCTCCCTGTTAAGAAACACCCTCCTAACCTGGCTTCTTTACGCTTTCTTTTTGACCTTCTCTACTGGTTCTGCCTAAAACAAATGAAGATCAGCCCTCCGGCAAATGCACGGGTGGGGCTTTTATTTATTTATAATTTAATTCAATAGAAATTAAGTACTTTTGAAAGCCCAGGGTTAAAAAAAAAAAGTGTTTAAGCACCTAGAAGTCTTAGTCCTTCCATGGCACAGGTATTCTATGCAAGACTTTGATCTCATTTCAGACTTCTGCTTTTTCACCTTGTTACAAGCAGTTAAATATTTGTTTTGCATCTCAAATACCCATGTGGGATCTCCCCTTGTAGGTTGGCCCCTGCAGCTTCTTGCACAGGTGTGCTGATGGAAGCATGAGGTTTGCACCTCAGAGAGGCCGAAGTATCTGAGATTAGGGAAATGGCAATTTGACTCAATTCAGGCACAGCAAAACACGAGACGAGGCTGTTGTCATGGTCCCTTCTTACCTATCCTATTTTTCACTCTTCTGTTTTTCACTCCCTCTTTTGATCACGTTAAATGAGCTATGGAAGTTACATACTGGGAGAGACACAGAAGGGGGGAATGAGCAGAAAGTGCAACTACCACTGAAAGTGGTTTTTTTAGATAAGAAGCACTCAGTAAGAGGAAACAAGGAGACCTAAGTATCTCTCCTTTGATGGAAAGAAGACATAATATAATGAAATAAATGCTTCCAGTTCATTGCTCCCAAACAGCCTGTGAAGCAGACAAGATGACGCCGATTTAGCTATCTATCACACTGTGTTCTTCCATAAGCTACAGGAAAAAAGGCATTTGTGAACAGCCAGCCTTCCATAGTGACCAGTGAAACATCCCCAGTCCCCTCACGTTCACCCCGCAATGGAACACGTAGGAGTACACTTAAGCTATTCTGCAATTCCCCAGGAGTCAAAAGGAGGAAAGAACAGGTTTCTTCAATCTCTTCAGAGCTATAAGAAAGCAGCACTTGAGAAGTTTGCTGAATAAAGAAACTGAGCACTATAACACACAAAAGCAGCAGTTCCTAAGCGTGCTTCAGGTATTATACACCAAGAGAAACCAGGGGAGCTAGGGTTCAGGAGAGCGAGCAGTATAACCAGGGTATTGCTGGATCATTCCCAGAAATACCACACCTACAGAATCTAACCTCACCGTAAACAACCTGTTTTGTAGAAAACATTCACAAATCACCATGCATTTCTCAGACTGTTGCATTCATTTTCTTGTCCTCCTGATTTCACTGCTTGCCTCCTCTGATTAAAGGCAAACCTACACCATCAGTTACACGGGAAGAAAAAATAACATACAGTTATTACATGTTTTTCCATAGCTACAGAAAAGCTAACATGTAGCTAACCTACAAGAAAAACTAGTAGCTATTAGAAGCAGCAACAGAACTTAAAAATATAAAAACGGGGTCCTTCAACAGACATGGAAGAATTCTATGAGCTGCCTTGATGGCAGCAGCTGGTTTTGTTGGGCTGTTGGAGAGTTCACCATTACTGAGTTAAGAGATTTCAGAATTCCATTTGGCACTATTTTCCTGTAGCAATTTTGAGTAAAACAAGTGGTTTTGTTTTAAGATGGCACCTGTGATGGCTTTTAAAAACCTTATTGCTGACTGGGTCTTCTTCTCAAGCTCAAGGGAAAAAAAAAACAAAAAATGCTGGCTTACCTCCCCACTTCTACCCCAAGAGTTTGCTGGCCTTGCTAGTCTTGGTGGCCAAGCTGAACAGGGCTCCTGACACAGCCAAACTGCACTCACAAAAGCCCATTACACAGTTCAGAGCTGGACACAAGAAGTTTATGAGGTGAGGGAAGAAACTGGGGAGCTGGTCTCCTCTGTTTATCCCCACTGGACCCTCTAACTGTTGGGCAACAGGGTAAAGGCCAGAAAGCATACATCAGTACCATTACTGACCACACTGCGTCAGTTTCACAAGGAGAACTTCTGCTCTTTTTTCTGTATGTAATACACAGAACCAATGAAACCCAAGGATAACTAAATGACCTTTTATTAGTGATATTCATATATTTGGTTGCTACCACAATAAAAGGGCTCTGCTTCTGCTCTGCAGTCCTGCCTTAGGAACACAAGCAAAGCAAAGTGATGCTTCATGGTGCAACTCACTGCTCCCAGGTAATCTTCAGGTTTGGGGGTAGCTCTGCAGCGCACAGTTCATCAAACTTGGAAGCATCCTTCACAGGAGTGCTGTAGAAATTCAGGACATCCTCAGCACTGCACATCAGGTGGAGCTGAGAGTTGGGGACAGTGTGACCAAGTTCTGCTGCCAGCTGAGCCAGGAGGCGATACTTTAACCTGTTTTCTTTGAGGGGTGTCTGCTGCCAATTATCAGGAAGTGAGGGTCCAAAAATCTCCTTGACGTGAGACTCAAGACAGCTCTGTATATCCTCCGGAGGAAGATAGCTTCTGCTGCGTGGTGGAGGACAGATCAGGCTGGGTTCACTTTTCTCTTCATGAACCATTTTGTCTGCTTCTCCTTCTTTTTCCTCCTTCCTGCTGACACCAGACAGAAGTATTTTCAGTCTCTGGGGTACTTAAGACTGAGTCAGAGCACATTTCTATTCATAATCGTTTAATATCGGACTCAGCCTAGCCTGTAGAGAGTTTACACATCCCGTGGACACAGCAGGTTTGTTATGCGTCCAAGAACAAAAGCGCATAGGCTAGACCTTTGGTTTCTCCCCAAATGCTGCTTGCCACCCAGGCTGTCTCTACACAGCCATCACCTGGCCTAGCTTATTTTATTGGTCTGAATGTAAATAGGATTTTAACTAGATTAATGACTTGTTTTCCCAGTTACAGCTCCATTTTCTAATCTGCTGTGGAAAACAAAAGGATAACAGAAAATAACCACTACTATAGAAAAAATCAGTGCGCACAGATAAAAAAAATACGATCACTAGTTTTAACTAGAAAACCTCCCCCAAGTTATTTGACTTGCTCACATGCCGCAATCCAGTCAACAACACAAGCATGGTGTCACCCAAGAAGTGATACAGAAAGGACTCTTCTTCGTTCCCGTTGTAGTACTGCCCTGAAACGTTTTTCTCCACACCTAGCAAATTCCCTTACCGAAGCGGGTACGCGCATTAAAAAGCCTAACTCCGCACCGTCACACCCGCCTGCTAGCAGCGCGCCCCCGCCAAGGACGGCGTGAGGGAGGGCACTGGTTGCACGCCCCGAGGCCTGCGACCCAAGGCGCTCTGGTGCACGAAAACCGAGCAGGGCAGGTCTGAGTGACCAGCCGCTGCTCTCCCGACTCGGCCG